GGCCACATGAACCATGGATCATAATACCCATGGGTATGGATTTGGGTTATACCCATGACCCTTGAAATACCACATATAAATACATACTCCATTGCCCAAAATCCCCATTTTGCAAGACTTAGTAGTTCTTGGAGCTCATGGAGTTGATTTTGGTATGGATGGGATTCTCTCTCAAGAGCCACCTTTGTCCTTGGTGAGTTGTGAGCCATTTGAGGCATTCATACTTTTGGTGTTAAGCTCTTAAGGCCAAATACATCAAGACTTCAAGCTACATAAAAGATATGTTACTCTAACTAGTATCTTGTATGGTATTTGTCAATTGCATGCTAGTTATAGGCTTAATACCTTGGAAACCTCATTGCATGTATAATTAGTGAAAACATAGATCCAAGGTATTTAGGGTTGTATGTGCACCATAGGATGTTGTAGCATAGAAAACCCATCAAGTACGCCATGTGTAAATGTTGAGTACGCTGGGCATACTCAGCCTGAGTTGACTCGGTTGACCTTTTGACCTTAACTAGGATTTTGACCAAGTTTGACCTAGGGGTATTTTGGGTATTTTGAGCTGTAGTTGAGATTTGGTCACTGTTTGATGTATAGGTGACCTGTTGAGTCAGCAGTAGGAGCTATGACCTGTTCAGCTATCTTTTCAGACTGTGAGGTGAATTTTTCTCACTGTACTTGTGGGTCGAAGGCACCAAAGTCGGCCCACTGGATTTTGTATCCCGATATATTTGATTGATGTTATGCTGAGTATGTGTTAGACTGATAGATCTGTATGATTTCTTATGTTCACTGAGTATGCGTTGATTGGTAGATCTGTATGATTACATGTGTTGTTGGTTATTGATTGTTTTTGTATATGTTGACATGTTATGTTTTGTTGGGTTGAGGCGGTCCTGTTTTGTGTTGAAGGTCAAGATACCCGGGGCGGTTCGGATAGACTGAAGGCCTGTGAGGCGGTCCATTCGAGTCGAAGGCCCGGAGAGCGGTCCAAATAGGCTACAGGCCCTGCTAGGCGGTCCAGTCAGACTGAAGGCTCATATATGCATGATGTTATATGTATTGGATGTGTGTGGTACTTTGGGGAACTCACTAAGATTTGGCTTACGGTTTAACTTTTATGTTTCAGGTACTTCAGATGATCGTAGGAAAACAAAAGCGTAATTGTGCACATCCTTATGGTTTTATGACATTGGATTTTGGAATACTCTGATTTGTGATTATTACTTTAAGAACAATGTTTTGTAAACAATTATGGTTTTTGGTTGGATTTTAAAAATAAAAATTTTACCTTGATTTTTGGGATGTTACGACCACTCATTTCATGTCCACGATCGGCGATTGTGGAGTCAGTTTGACCGATATTCATCCATTATGATCCTATTCCAATTCAAAAATGTATTTTTTTTACCCAAATATCGTTTGTAAATACATACAGAGAGATGTTAAACATGTTAAACTCTATAGAATTTTAAACTTTGTCTCAATGATTCCCTATTTTTCTCTCCCACATATATTGATTTTACCATGGAAGTGTAACCTCTGGCCCTGATCCAAAACACAACTAACCGATTCGTTTAAGGTAATACTAACACCAATATCAAATCAAATTACATTGACTAATGAGATAAACCAAAAGCTCATGATGCAGTAGTTCAACTCCAAGGCGTAATGTAAGTCCAAATATAAAGAAAAAAAACTCTAGTGGAAGCGCCAAACCAAATCCCTAGATTTTAAACATAAAGACAAGCAACTCGAGTGGATGATCTATTCCAAAGCTCTAACCACTAAATATCAAGAAAACCCAACTCCAATGGCTCTTCGAAAATCAAAATATAATATCTTTTTCAGAGGAAGACAAAATTGCTCAAAATATGAAGGAATATTATTCAGTCATCTAAAAACTAAAAAGTTAATTTATTATCTTAACTCATTTGTTTAAATTCAGTTTAATGAATTTATATTTTACAAATTTATATATTTTTACTATTTTTAGAGGGTATATGCCACCCTGTAATAAGAAACTGAAATTTAATAATTACAACTAATAGTTCAAACTTCATCCACTGATTTAACAATTAGCAATTTACAAATTAATAGTTCAAACTTCAAAGTTCATCCCCATTCCCCCAAAATAAAAAATAAAATGGTCTAAGCCCTAGACCATGATCCATGAGCCAATTAAGCCAACTAGTATTTGGAAAATTTCTTCTTGGGCTTTTTCTTTTGTCATAGTTATAACTTCTCATTTCGTAAAATTCTTTTCATATGTGATTATTCATCATTGGGTTGGGTCTATGAAGTTTTATTCGTTAATTATAGAGTAAATTACACGAGTGGTTCTTATGGTTTAGGGTAATTTGTCGGTTTGGTCCCTAACTTATTTTTTTAACTCGAAAGGTCATTACTGTTTGTTTTTGTTACGCGATTGGTCTCTGTCTTACCTAAAAAGACTATTATTTAAATAGTGAAAAATGATTGGGTTAGGTATGGTAAGGTGAGGGGATGAGATTGGGGGTGTGTTTATTTAAACAAATAAAAAAATCAATGGCAAAATAGTTTTTTAGGTAGCATGGGGACCAAACGCGTAACAAAAACAATCAGTAGGGACCTTCCGAGTTAAAATAATAAGTTAGGGACCAAATACGTAAATTAATTCGTGTAATTTACTCTTGATTATATAAAATTAAATATTATTTTTCCGATTTGGGTATAGAACTATAGTTAATATAATATATTGTTTATTTATTAATTTAACAAATAAAATAATCAAGTTAAGCAATAAAAAAATCGTAAAAACAGAATAATTAAACAAGTCAACAATATGTTTAGTTTGTCATACCCACGTAAGGATAGATTTTCCCAAAATCATGTAACTTATTTCAAACTAGTTGTGAGACCCATGTATTATATGAGTTAATTTAAAAAAAAGTTAAATATAAAGGTCAAAATATTTGAGAACTTTGAATTTATAAGAAAATAAGAAAAATATTGAATTATTATAATAGAAATGTTTTTTATCTTTTAAATTTAAACAAATATTAATTTAAATTAATAAAAAAACTAATAAGCTTTAATTTTGAGAATTTTAAAATTAAAAAGTAAGTTCATTAATGAAATTGATATCCATTTATTACTACATTTATTACAAGTATTATATTAAAATATTATGTGAAATTTAATAAAATAGAAAAACTAATAAAATGACATGTGAAAAAAATATTAATTGAAAATAACCACAAAATGACATTTGGCAAATTGAATGACAGTGTGACAAGTGGCAAAAACAACATTCATTTATTAGAGAGGATTAGTTTGATAAACTCAAATTCCAAATTCTCTACTACAATGATGACTATACATTTAAACTTGTCAATATTTAATTTGCGGAAATCATGGTAAAAATGGTTAAACCTAGGGCTATAAACGAACATAAACAATGGTTTGTTGATGTTCGTTCGTTTAAGTTAGTCAAACAAACGAACGAGTTTTCTTATTCATGTTCGTTCGTTGATGTTCGTGAACATGCAAAACAAACATAAAAGAACAAAGATAAACAAACACAATTGACCATATATGAACACGAACATATACTATAGCAATGTCATAAAAAACAATTGAACATATATGAACATAAAGAAACATAAACGAACGAATATAAACGAACGTTCACGAACATAAATGAACAAACGAGACCATTGTTCATGTTTGTTCATTTATTATATGAATGGACATAAACGATGGTCTATTCGTTCATTTATGTTCGTGAACGTTCGTTTATGTTGTTCGTTTACGTTCATTTATATTCGTTCGTTTATGTTTATTTATGTTCATATATGTTTATAAACGAACTTCCCGTCGAATGGTTCACGAACGGTTCGCCGAACGTTCAATTCGTTTACAACCCTAGTTAAACCATACCCTCTATACAACTGTCCAAGTGAAATTTGCATAAGGGCCCAACATGCTTCATATGTATATCGCAGACTACCCAACAATATTTATTGAGAAATCAAAGATACTCCTATTTTTTTTGTTTATACCTATGTTCTTATTCAGAGAAATCAAAGATACTCCTATTTTTTTTGTTTATACCTATGTTCTTATTCAGAGAAATCAAAGATACTCCTATTTTTTTTGTTTATACCTATGTTCTTATTCATTTGATGAAGACAAGTGTCAAATTTAAGAGGTGTGATTAAGATTTGATGAAGACAAGTATCAAATTTAAGAGGTGTGATTAAGAGAGAGTGGGGTGTGGTGGTCCATATTTTTTTTTATATTAAAAATAATAAACAAACTAAAAAGAAATCAAAAAAGAAATGGTGAAGGGTAAAATATAGTCATTTTAGGGACGAAACGTACAAGTTTAAACATATGACGGACGAACCGAGTTAATTTTTGGAAATAATGACTAAACGTATATCTTAGTACTCGGACGAGGGACGCATGGTGTAATTTATTCTATTTTTTTAATGTGCGTGGTTTAAAACCCTAGAATTCCTAAAATTCTGCACCTCAGCCTTCCAGTTGCCCATCATGTTTCGTGTATATATCATCTAGGGGTGAGCATTTGAACCGAACAAGATCGGCTCCTGGACCGGACCGGTTTGGCAGAAATTAGTGGACATTGGACCGATCCAGTCTGAGTTTTTCGGTTCTTGTACCCGTTGGACCGGTACAACTTTAGGTGCATATGGTACAACTCGTTGAAGCCTACCGAAAGTTAGTTTATCTATCTATTATGATTGTAGGTGTAAGTATTTGAACTGAACCAAACTGGACCTGGACCGGCTCTTGGACCAGACCAGTTTTGCAAAAATTGGTGGACCTTAGACCGGACCTGTTGAGGCGGTCCGGTCCAAATGCTCATCCCTAATACCGCCGAGACGTCGACAGTATTACAATATTTTTGAATTAGCTAGGTTTTAAACCCTGGAACTTTTAGAATTCTGCACCCCAGCCAGTATGTTTCTTGTTGCATTTTTAAGAAATTTTCCATAACAAAAACCAAGAATCATCGTTTAGCCATTACAACGTCTCCTAACGACCATTAACTTCTTTTCAAATTTCAACCTATCTATCTGACCATTTAAAGAGCACAAAAATGGATGAATGAATCTAAGACCATGTTTAGTTTACTTGTCTGATTGTTCTTTATCAGGATCCTCTTCCTCTTCTTCTTTGTTCTCTTCATCATCTTCTTCCTCATCTTCTGCAGGAGGGTCATATGGTGATGGTGGTGGCAATGGTGTTTTCATTGGACTAAACTGTGGAAATATATCAGGTCTTCTTCCTGGTTTTGGCCTTTCCCATTCCTGCCACAATTCACTACATGTTTCATTCATACTATTCAAATCCAAAGCACACAATGCTTTATGCATCTCATTTGAATATACAAAGTTCAAGAAACAATTCTAAGAGCAACTAGAACAAATCTTTATTGTGGTTACATTTAGGGTTTAGGGGCCTAGGATGATAAATGTGGTTGCTTTTTATGCTATTATTCAAGGAGATGTAAGAATAACTCTGTTTTTGTTCAAGAACAGAATTGTTGGGTGTCGGATAACATTAGGGTTTTTGAGATAAAGCTGAAAATGGGGATTTATGGTAGAATTAGTGTTCATCCTCAACATGTTGCTTCAAGAAAATCAGTATTATGCAAAAACTATATTCTTAGAAATGTGTAAATTCAGCTTCTAACATCTTACAAGCTTGAATTAGATACTTTCAATTCAAAAATCCCAATCTAAGGTTATGCTTTCTGCTTTCATAAATCAATTGATGAAGAACTACGAAGAAGATGTCGACAAATAATTAGAACCCTAAATTTCTACACATATACAGATAGAAAGAGGGAAAAGAAACATACCACAGGGAAATCAAGAGGGTTCCGACGAGTCAATTTCTCTTCATCCGGGGCCATACAAACAACCATCGCCGCCGACGCCGTCCGATGAGCGGAAGCACATCTTGGAAACCTCGTAACTGATGAAGGAGCGATGTATGATGATGAAGATAGTCTTGAAGTTCCTGTAACTAGCGATGAAGATGGCGGAGATACCGAAGTCAAACAAGGTGTGAAGGAACGCACGGAGGTGTAAATCGCCGCCATATCTCAATTCTTCTTGCAAATCAATGCAACTGCAAAGATAATCAGAAGTACGAACCCACCTACCACAACTACCGCCGCCGCAAACCACCGCCACCAACTGCCTTTCTACGGAGAGGTTTAAGAGAGATAAATCTCCGTTAGCAACTACTCTATCCACTTACATCACAGGGGTAAAGTTTGAGTTTTTTTCAAGAAGTGATAAGAGTGAATTACATGAATGGTCCTAAACTATTGATTAATTTACATTTTCGGCCCCGAACAAAAAGTTTCACTTTTTAAGTAATCTAAGGACTATTTTTGTAAATTAAAGGCGTGGGATTTCAATCTCGAACACTTTCTGAAGGGTAAAAAGCAAGACGTGGCCAAATAAGCTCCAGAAAATATGAAAAAGAAACAGGGTATTTATTTGCTCATTTCATTAGCAACCTCAAGAAAATTCAAAACTAATTTTAAATTTTCTTGATAATATTTGTGGATAAGATTTCACCTAAATGAGAGTAGACAACGATTTCTTACATGCAAAAAACATATATTCATCTCCCATCATGCATACCCAGTTTCCCTTGCATCCTGCTTCACTCAAACAGGTATTCTATCTCTACAATCAAGTCTCAAATTTGCACATTTTGCTCGATGTTTGATTCTTTGATGTAAAAAGCTTTGTTCTTTGAGGGTTTTGATTCAATTCCAATAAGTATTTTAGGTTTATTTGCTTCATTTCATAATTAAAAATGAAATCTTGGATTAGGATTGGATGATTAGAGTTCAGTTTCCATGATTCTTGGAAATGAAGAACAGTGGACCTATTTTAGCAAATTAAGTGTCAATTAGCACATTTTGCTTGATATTTTGTTCTTTGATGATTAAAGCTCTGTTCTTTGAAGGTTTTTATTCATTTTCCATTAAGAATTTTGGGTTTATTTGTTTCATTTCATGTTTAAAAACGAAATCTTGAAGTAGGGTACGATGATTATAGTTCAATTTCCATCTTTCTTGGAAATGAAGAATACTGGACCCTAGAGTTGAGAAATTGGGTCATTCTGAACAAGCAAAGAGTCTTTTTCTTTCTAGGGCTATTTGATGATGTTGATGATGAGGGCATTTTAGTCTTTTACACAAACAAGTGACTTAGAGCGTGTCATATCCTGAATGGGGTCTTCTCGAACATTATATTTCATAGAATCTTGTGTTTTCATGTCCTGTTTCACTTACTTTCTTACTGATTCTCTTTAGGATGTCTCAAGAAGAATAAGATCATGAATTTGAGGTGAAAGTTTGTTTCATAAAAATAGAGAATCATTTTCATGTGAAATGGGAGAAAATGGTAAAGAAAGGTTACATTCTGTCATCATCAAGAAGCACCGAAATGGACCAATCACAAGCAAGTCAAAGATTCAAGCATCAACTACCATGGTACATCAAAACTTAAAATCCATCTTATTAAAGAGTCTCTATTTATGTTTTCCTTTTATCTAACATGGTATCAGAGCAAGATCAAGAAATGTCTAGTGAGAGGAAACAAATGAATCTTATTGTAAACCTAAAAAAAACTATCAAAAAGTTGTGTCTTGTTAAGTTTGATGATATGTATACATTGTAGGAAACACATCTTGATGAAAAGATCCATTCGGGAACAGTTTCAGCAGTTGTAAGTTCAAGAACTCAATCACGTTGCAACATCTGCATGGAAGAAAAAAACAACAGTTGCCAAATAGTTCGATCAAGAACCAAACTAATGAAGATCTTGATAGAAAGAAAAAAGCCACAAGAAGTCCAATCAATCATGAAAGATTTAATCGAAGATGGACACATTCCAACTTTAGTCACATACACAACTCTCCTAGCAGCTTTAACACTCCAAAAACGTTTCAATTCCATTCCATCTCTCCTTTCAAAAGTCGAATCCAATGGCTTAAAACCCGATTCCATCTTCTTCAATGCCATCATCAACGCCTTTTCTGAATGCGGAAACATGAAAGAAGCCATGAAAATGTACAAGAAAATGAAGGATAGTGGATGTAAGCCTACAACAAGTACTTTAAACACTTTAGTTAAAGGACTTGGAATCATTGGGAAACCCGAAGAATGTTTAAAGTTATTGGAAATAATGACAATTGAAGAGAAAGTGAAGCCGAATGATAGAACGTTTAATATTATCACTCAAGCTTGGTGTAGTAAAGGGAATATTACAGAAGCTTGGAATGTTGTGGATAAGATGGTTGTTTTTGGTATAAAGCCTGATGTTGTGACGTATAATACGATTGCAAAAGCTTATGCTATGAATGGAGATACGTATAGAGCTGAAGAGATGATTTTTCAGATGCGGTATCATAAAGTGGCGCCAAATAAACGAACGTGTGGGATTATAGTTAATGGGTATTGTAGAGAAGGTAATATGATGGATGCTATGAGATTTGTTTATAGAATGAAGAATCTTGGAGTGCCTCCAAATGATGTTGTCTTCAATTCGCTCATCAAAGGGTTTCTTGATACTTCAGATTCTGATGGAGTTGATGAGGTATGCATGTATGTATATGTGTATGTATCAATGTATGTATGCATGTATCCATGTTTACACGTGTGAACTAAACAAGATACGAAGAACTATATCTTTTACTTTGGGAAAACTATTTTGGGCAATTTTTGGATATAATCACTTATACTTTATTTTTCAAATCAAGAATCTTGAATTTAAGAAATCTATTATGTAATCTGCCCTTTTAATTTTGAGGTTTCAAGAATCTTGAATTTAAAAAAATCTAAAAATGGGTTCTTGAATTTAAGAAACCTATTATGTAATTTGCCGTTTTACTTTTGAGCTTTCAAGAATCTTGAATTTAAGCAAACTAAAAATGGGCTGTTGAATTTAAGAAATCTATTGTGTAATTTTCCCTTTTAATTTGAGCTTTCTAGAATCTTGAATTTAAGAAATCTAAAAATGTGTTCTTGAATTTTCAAATCAAGAATCTTGAATTTAAGAAATCTATTATGTAATTTTCCTTTTTCACTTTTGAGCTTTCAAGAATCTTGAATTTAAGAAATCTAAAAATGTGTTCTTGAAGATCATCAAAAACTGATTATGCTCACAAGAATCTTGAATTTAAGAAATCTAAAAATGTGTTCTTGATCAAGATCATGAAACTGATTATGTTTTACATGAATCTTTTAGGCACTAAAGTTGATGGAGGAATTCGGGGTGAAACCAGATGTGATTACATTCAGCACGATTATGAATGCATGGAGTTCAGTAGGATTAATGGAAAAATGTCAAGATATCTTTGATGACATGATGAAAGCTGGAATAGAACCAGATATTCATGCATTCAGTATCTTAGCAAAAGGCTATGTGAGAGCTGGTGAACCCAAGAAAGCCGAATCACTTTTGCAAGTTATGAAAGAATCAAATGTAAGCCCAAATGTTGTCATCTTCACTACTATCATTAGTGGATGGTGTAGTTCAGGAAAGATGGATTATGCTATGAGGGTTTTCAATGAAATGGGCAAAATGGGTATTTCACCTAATTTGAAAACTTTTGAAACTTTAATTTGGGGGTATGGAGAAGCAAGACAACCATGGAAAGGCGAAGAGTTGTTGCAGATCATGGAGGAAAAAGGGATTGTTCCACAGAAGAACACTATTGAGCTTGTTGCAGATTCATGGCGTGCTATTGGTGTAAATAATGAAGCTCAAAGGATCATGAATCATGTTGAAGAAGATGATGATGATGATGATTATAATGAAAATGATGATGGAATAATTGATTCAGGTATGAAATCAAGAAGTGGAATTGTGGTCAAAAGGTCAAAGTTTTCACCTGAAAGCTTGAGTAGTCTGACAAGAAAGTCGATTTTAATTGCACATAGTTGTCGATTTGGGGTGAAAGCCATGACAATGTTTCACAGAAAGGTTCAAGTTAAAGTGCAAGTTGCAATTTATGGGCACATGAGCTACAAATTGGTGTTTTAAGGTTAGTAAATGGATATTAAGTTGAAAGCCTCTTGAAGTGATTATGAAGAATTTGTAATCAAAATTCTGTAATTTTCTGTATAAAGAATGCCTAGATTCACAGGCAGACATACACATTGTATTCCCATCTCAACACAACAAGTTATGTACATGTTCTTTGATCCGTAGTCTCTTCTAAAGTTGAATCAAAATATTAAATTTGTTTATTTGGAGATACATAGAGAAGTTAAAGCACATGTACAAATATAATTCTTTACCATATGCCTATATAAACCTTTTAGAAGACATTTGCCCCAATGACAAACAAGTTACAAAAGGGTTCAAAATTCACAATACAAGGGTAATTGTAATTAATGAAACAAAATTCATATCAACAGCTTTCACAAAACCTCACATTTACACAAAACATATAAAATATGTATCTTGAATATCTGCTCTGATGATATGCTTAACACGAACACTTTCTTAAATAGGCGTCTTGAATACCAATTGCTTTTCTTCACACAAATACCCTCTTGAGATGCAACAAATACCAAACAATAACACAATGAACATTTGTAAATAAAACATTAAACAAGGAAAATCAATAAGAATACAAGGCATCATATATAAGAATTACAACATGAATAAATTCAGACATATGCTTGTCATTTTGTAAGATTTTCTTAATCACTTGCCAACAAAAATTGAAATTCAACAAACAGATAAAAAGCATAAAATCGGTAAATTGGGATTCAGTTTATGGGTGGTGATATAACAGAGTGGTCGGCAAGGTGATTATTCATCACCATTACGACGAACGAGACCTTATCACATGGAGTCGTCATTATCCCTTTTCAATCTAACTTAAAAATAACAAACAGGAAAAAAGAATTTTAGGGTTCATCAGATAGGAGCGAAAGACTAAAAAGATGTTTAATCACAGAGTATCATTTGAACTATGCAAAATCATCACTTGAACCTTTCAATTTCCACAAACAGATAAAGAAAATTCATAACGCCTCAGAAGGAAGGCAGTATTTTGTGTAATCATGATTCATTATTACGCAAACATCAATACAATCATCATTGGCTGGTGAAAAAAATACAAAGATACAAAATTTAATGGCCTCATAGAGAAAATTAGATTTAACAACATGGTTTAGTTCAGACATATGCTTGTCTTTAATTTAGAATTTAATCATCGGCCATTTCCAGAAAAACTCAAATAAATGAGAACATTGAATTAAGAAGTAAATATAATCACTGAAAAACATTTGTTCAAGACTTTCATGGAAGAAAAAAATCAATGGACTCAGTTTATGGGTGGTGATATAACAGTTTGGTCGGCAAGGTGATTTGCATCACCATTACGACGAACGAGACCTTATCACATGGAGTCGTCATAGCCCTTTTAATAAAAAAAGCTGAAAACCTAGTAAAAACGATTCGATCTAACTGGACAAGAACAAAACAATCTCGAAAATTACAAATGGAGAAAACCAATAAGAAGTTTTAGACAGAAAAATGGTGTTATGGAAGACTAGAAAAGAGTAGGTACATTAACAGAAAGATCTAACCTTCTATAAAGAACCCTAATCGATAAACCCTAGTCGTTGAAAACAGAGAATAGAGATTGGCTATAAAATCTGATTGATTATGCGTTTCTATTTATAGAAGGATCCTACGGTTTCGTTGCAAATAAAGTATTCGGGGCCCTGAGAGGATTGTTTGGGCTGCCTGGCCCGTTTTATCTAGTCCACCTACTATCTTATTGTTTAATATTTTCATGATTAATTTATGACAAAACTGCAAAATTGGTCCCTGTGGTATTCAAAAAATTTTAGATAGGGTCCAAAAAGTTTTCAACTTGCATGGAAGGTCCAAAATCAAAGTTTTTCTGGGTTTTTGGTCCAAAAAAACTTAAAAAAACAATTTTACCTTTTTCATTTCTTTTTTCTATTTTCTCTATTTATTTTGGTATTTAAACAATTATAAATAAAAAATAAAAACTAAAATCTCTCTCTCTCTCTCTCTCTCCACCCACCGTCTTCCCCAACCTTGTTCCTTTCTCGTTTTTTCTCCACGATCATAATCATGCTGGAGGCGGAAATATTTTCTTCAACACCAAACATTCGTCTATCGGGAACACCTTTCAACCCTTCTCTCTTTCTTTTCTCCATTACATACTGCCCTAAATTAGTCACCGAAGGTTTCTTTCCGGTGATAATCTCCAATATCAAAATCCCAAAACTGTAAACATCCGATGTGTGACTGAAGGACTTTGAAATACTTTGTGTTCGTTTTAATTTAGGCACCATTCGACCACAGTTTCTTCTAATAATCATGGAAGTAGAGATAAGATACGATGTTTCATAGCTGGAAAGACGAGGTGAGAAGTCGCTTTGTATTAGAAAGTTAGATGATTTTAGCACCCCGCAGAGAAGACCTCGACTCTGAATTGACGTTACTGCTTTCGCTGCTCCGAACACTATTTGCTGTCTGATTTCCCAATTTAACGACATAAATTGAATGCCTTCGCTTCCTGCGAAATTGAAATCGGATAAAGGTAAAAAATTAGAAACCCCAGTTTTCGATTATGGGATTGCTTACCATGTAGGAGCTCCTCCAAGCCAAGTCTGTTCTAGGGGAGTTGAATAGATCAGAGGGGTTGAATGTTACGATGGTTTCATGGTCTCCGAAGACGATTCTGGTGACAAGTGTGATTTTGACTTGTAAGGAGATTGGGGTTTGGTTTGTGAGTTGGGTGGTGGTGGGTTTGGTGAGTTTGGTTGTGATGATCCCGTCTCGAAGAAGATGAAGAGAGAGAGAGAGAGAGAAAAAAAAAGAGAAAAAGAGAGAGTAGTGGGAGTGGGTGGGAGGATAATTCTTTTTTTTATAATTAAAATGGTATTACAATAATCATAAAAAATACAAAAAAGAAAATAAAAGGGTATAACTGTCTTTTTAAGTTTTGTTGGACCAAAAACCCAGAAAACTTTGATTTTGGACCTTCCATGCAAGTTGAAAACTTTTTGGACCCTATCCAAAGTTTTTTGAATACCACATGGACCAATTTTGCAGTTTTGTCATAATTTATGAATGATAATAATAATATTTCGATTTACAGAAGTAACAGAACTCGACATATCTCTCGTCAACGTTTTACAAACCTTCACTACTTATAAAGAGCTAAGGTGTATTTGAAATTTTGAGTGTACATGTATATTTTGTACTTAATACCCCTTGGTAACTTTTGGTTAAATTATGTAATTATCCAATTTTATTGGAATTATATTGAATTAAAAGTTAACCGTTGGGAAAATATTTGGGCTAATGCAAGTTTAGTGGCTACTTTGTGATGATAAAGAATTGATAGAATTGATATTTGCATTCTGAACAATTGTGTTCCAGGTTTACGTTTTTATTAAAGCACAATGACAAACTTATATAGGGAGAACAAGCTTGGTAAACAAGCAATAACAAAGATAACAATAGGAATACTAGAAATAAGGAAACGATAATCCTTATCTATATAGATGAACATGACTATCGGATAAAGAAATCCAACACCCCCCCCCCCCCGAGCTGGAGCGTGTGGATCTCGAATGCCAAGTTTGCCACATAAAAACTAAAATCTATCCGTCCCAAAAGGTTTAGTAAAAATATCAGCAACTTAATCGTTAGTACTGATGTAAAAGGGTTTGATCTGTCCAAACTCTACTCGTTCACGTACAAAATAACAGTTCATCTCAACATGTTTTATGCGTTCGTGAAAGACAAGATTATTAGCAATATGAAGAGCTTCTTTGTTCTCATAGTAAAGGGAAGTAGGATCTGACTGTTACGCTTCCATATCATAAAGTAACTTGCGGAGCCACAAGAGTTCACTAAAGGTAGCAACCATTGCTTGATATTCAGCTTTTGTCGACGACTTTGACACCACAAATTGTTTCTTTGTCTTCCAAGAAATTGGTACTCCACCCAATGTGATGAAGTAATTGTTGGCTTAGGTGTCTAAGCCAATAACTAAATTGATATATACTTGAATTAAAAGCAGAATCCTTTTGGGTTGTCCTCAAGACTAGTAATTGATAGAATGACTTTTTGGAGATAGAGGTTGATTTATTGATTTATTATAAGATTAATAAATAGTCATAAATGATTTGTTAATATATTATGAGATTAATATATTAATTAGAAATAGTATTGTTAAATTAATAATCAATCAGAAATTAATTGGAATTAATTTTGGGATTAATTGAATTAATTGAAAATTGAAGGACTAAATATGACAATGTTTAAAAGTTGAGCATTGAGGAATTCCATAACCTTCCCATAGAGGAGACGATTTTGAGGAGGTTCCAATGGTTTCTTGGAAGCCTTAAGAAGGCTTAAGAAGCCTTAGGGAGTAAGAAAAAGGATAAGGGTTATCCAAGGAAACCTGCATTATCCTAGCTTCCTTACTCACCTATATAAACCCCTTATAGGATTAATATTTTCGGCTATCCCTTCTCTAAGAGCTTAGAGCCGAAAATTCCTTCCCTATCTTCTTTCCTATAAAGTCTTCTATTGTTAGGGTTTTGGTACAAACCATTAGAGGCACGAGATTTCTGGTGCTTGCTTTCTAAATCTGGATCAAGAAGGAATTATTGATTATTTGCTATAATAATCAAAAGGTGTGTAAACCCTAAAACCCTTTGTTAATTTCGAAAATAGTAGAACACTCCTAGGGTTCTTGATGTTCAATTGGTTGTTGCAAATCAATAGTGAAAACATAGATCCTTTAGGTTGCATGTGAACTTAGGGTTAAGTTTTTTCTGCCACATGTTTTTTTTGTAACCTGTAAAACCCATCAGTGGTATCAGATCCATTGTTTTCATTGACCTTGCATAAAGTTGAATAGATTAAAATTAGGGTTTATAGAACCTAAACCCTAAGGAGGCAATTTTCGAATTTTGCTAGGGTTCTTGAAACCCTGGCCTCTTTACCCATTTTCGAAAATTGAAGAGTCATTTTAGGGTTTACCTTGTTTCCTTATTTATTATTTTAAAAGCCTTAAAATTTGAACAATTAAAACTTGATAAACCCTAACCTATTTTAAAAAATTAGGAGGCAATAGATTATGATTAAATTTGAATTTTTTTATTAATTGATTAATAGTAAATAATTATTTAATCCAAAATTGATTTAATTAATTTAATTAATTGTTTAATTAAAAGATAAAGATAAATTATAGTTGGTTAGTATTATTTAATTAAAAACCTTAATTTAAATAATTAATATTTAAACCTCATATTTTAAAAAAGTTTTAAAATATACCTTATATATTATTAAAAGTTAACTACTATATGTATAAGAAAAGTCAGTCAAATCGCTAGTACGCCTCATTCACGAAACCATGTTATAAAGAGGTTATAAGGAGGCGGCCTATAAAATAGTCGTTGAATGGGTGTCCACTCTCACCCATCGCTCGCTTGTGTTGTGGAGGGTCGTTAGCCAAAGAGGTTTGATAGGACATGATCTCATTAATAAGTATAATGATATCAAATTACTAGAACCTTCTTTTAAAAATCCCACTTTGGTTACTTTAGGAAAAAAAAGTGAAATAGTATGTTAATCCATGAAAACGCACATCATACTTTAATATGTCGTTAGTGGAGCGTGTGTGGTTAACCGGCACACTAATAGGGACTTTAAAGAGAAATGATGGGCATCTCGAGAATTATCATTGTTAATGGAGCACGTGTGGTTAACCGGCACATTAATTGGAGATGATAAATGACATCGAGGGTGCTAAATGGGTTTGCATGGTTATTCACATCTTGTTTGCGATCCTCGACATCCTAGTCACAAATAGAAGAGCATAATCTGAGATTAAACATGCAGTTGATAAGATTCAGTGTATCTCAAAAGATCTAGGAGTTTCATAATTCGAAAATTATGAATTGTTTTTACCTACCTTCAAAAGTTCGCAATGAGATTACAGTTGTGAATTGTTATTTTGGATCCTAACCTTAAATATCAATTATGGGTTAAAATATTAAGGAATTATATCAATTAACTAAAACTACTTCCTTCATATAGATGTCTACTCCAGGAGATGTTTCTGCCACTCAATCGTCCACCAACAACAACTTCACTCTACCATTAACTCTCTATACAGAGAAGCTATTTGGTTCAAACTACATGGATTGGATGTGTAATCTCAAGATGACTCTTCGATACCAGGGCAAAGAATATGTCCTCGACAAAGCTCTTGTTGAGATCGATGAGTCGAATGCTACTCCAGAAGATATTGTTGTCAACAAGAAACACTCTGACGACGCAACAAAGGTCGCTTGCATTATGCTTCCAACCATGGTATCTGAGTAACAAAAGTTCTATGAGGACTATTTTCCGTACGAGATTGGATTGGATCTTGCGAAAATGTTCCACAAAAGAGTGCGTCAAGAAAAGTATAACGTCGTCAAAGCGTTAATGGCCTGCAAGTTGAAGGAGGGAGAATCTGTTTGCAATCATGTGCATAGAATATAGAGATATGTGGAGCGTCTTGAAAGCCTTAATGTGACTTTGACGAAGAGTTGGCTATTGACATAGTCCTTAACTCTTTCCCATCTTGTTATGATCAGTTCGTCCTGACTTATCATTTAAACAATACTGAGACCACATTGGCCGAACTCCATAACTTGTTACAGGCGACTGAATTAGGGGATGAAGAAGAATCAAGTACCTTGAGATACAAGTGCTCCTGTCCTTAACATTAGAAAGAACAGAGGAAAGAAGAGGAAGGCTAAACCTCATTCGAATTGGAAGCTCAAGGCCCAAGCTGGATCGTCTAGGAGTGGGTCAAAGGCAAAGCCCAACTCAAATATTCTTGTTGTTAGTGACCCCAAAGAGGCAACTTGCTACTACTATAATGATAAGGGCCATTGGAAAAGAAGCTGCCCTAAATACTTTCAAGACATCAAGGATGGAAAGGTTAATCCATCGTCGGCAGGTACATACACTATTCAAACCAATAACTCACAACTTACTCGTTCTTGGGTCCTTAACACAGAATGTTGATTTCACATTTGTTCTGATTTGCAGGGGCTAAGAGAAAGTGAGGAGGTGGATCATGGAAGAATAAATCTGATCATGGGAAATATGTGATATTCTCCTGTTACCAAGATTGGAACTTATAGTATTATGCTTAGTAGTGATGTTAGGATAGATTTGATAAATTGTTAGTATTTGTCAGAAATGACACGAAACATTATTTTTTTTCATGCATTGTTTAGACAAGGATTTCGATATTCGTTTAATGATATGAATGGTTCGATTTTAGCTTATAAAAATGGTGTTTTTATGTTTGAAGCTTTACCTTGTAATGGTGTGTATGAAACTATGATTTGATTTTGATAGCTTATGCAATAGTGTATTAAATATTGATTTGTCTAATGGTGTAGACAAAGTATGCTTGTGGCATCGTCGTCTTGGACATATTAACAAGAAACACATCGCCCAACTGCAAAAGGATGGA